CCGTTTTCCGACAAATTCACATCGCATTAAAACCGATTTGATGAAATCGTATAATATCGGATTGAGGTGGATGTATATAATCCAATATTAACCCAGTGAGAAATGATTCGTCGATCGATGTCAAAACGATGTCGAATCGACTTCGATACCGTCAAATTGACGTCGATTCGACATCGTTTCGACATCGATCGACGAATCATTTCTCATTAGGAATCCGCCAGAATATGATATATTTTCAATCGGTTTTAATACCGTATTTTCGGTGCAGAAATCCCGATCAATTTGGATTACTTTTTGTCTTAATCGGTTTTAATCGACCATTTTCGGCAGGGAAGTTCTACAGTTTATCCCCGTAAGCAAAATGATAGCAGATTGTAGGCAGACTGGCAACAGATTTCATCAAAATATTTCAGCAGACTGACATCATCTGCGTCCGCATTCAGCTTGTGTTCTGCCGCCAGAATCTGCCGAACATGACCGGACAGCAGATTGACGGCAGAAATCGAGCAGATCCTGCTCATGCAACATGGTGGCAGATTGTCGGCAGAAACCGAGCAGGGTCTGCTGACATAACCTGCCGCCGAACTGCCACCAGAAATGCAACAAATTCTGTAGTCGAGCGATTTAAATCGTGACGTAACTGGTATTTAAATCAGTTGACGTTTTTATTCTTTTTCTATTTCTACTCTTCAAAGAAAGTAATAAATGAACAATTTTATTTTAACAGTTAATATATATTCTGTGTTAGAAAACATATATAATATAAAATTTATACAAAAATACATATTAGCTGCGTTCGGCAAAAAAATCTGAGATGCGAGCGAGCAGATGTCGAGCTTGAATCACGTGATCTCCGAGCAAGCCGAGCACTAATCTCAATGCCGAACGATTTCAGAGCTCTCAGAGCTGGTTAAGAACGTTCATCGGCTGTAATTATTATGGTATTGTTTCAAGTTTTAGAAATCAGGATTCTTATGTCAACTAATTTTAGTTTGTAATTTGATTTTGTCTATGTTTTTCACTCTTTTATTTTAGAATTGTTAGCGTTTCTGATTGAATGAGATGAGGTTAGGTTAAGTTGGATATACGATGGAAAACAACTATACGATTTGTGTTATGTTAAATTTTGCTCGAGATGTATTTTTTGAAGATAGCGATGATGAAAAGGAAACTTTAAGTATTCCAAAAGTTCATCAATATGCAGAAGAAATTGTACCTCGTTTCTCCACTTAACCAACCTTTTCGCGCGCAAAACAAGTATCTCCTCTGTGAGCTCGGTCTTTGAATTCAGAGCGAATCGAGGAGCTCGATTTGCTCTGAAACTACTAATGCCGAACACAGATGAGATGACACAGAGCAAAAAGATGTGCATTTCCGAACGATTTGAGAGGTAAAAGAGCACTCTGACGGCTCGGATTTGCAATGCCGAACGCAGCTATTATATACAAATTATTATATAATTACATTAACTATATATACAAATCATATACAATTATCAATCACACACATATAAATTAAATACAGTTATATATAAATTAAATACAATTATATACAAGTATAATACACATATTTACAAGAAAAATTGGATTTTACATTGAAGAAAATCGTTTTCCGATCGATGTGTGATGAAGATTTTCGAAATCTCTTAGGTGTGACATTATTTCAAGTGTGGTGGATCTAAACAAAAGAAAATATAAATTACAATAAAAAATTGAAGTGTGCTATAAACGAGAAAGATATCTTTTTGCTCAATATATATGTAAAAATAATTGTCAAAGTTTCTTTGATAGTATTACGAGAAAGTGTGTTACCATGTATTTTACATTATTCTTCGTTAATGTCTTTTTATATCAATTTGTACTCAAAAGCAGTGCTATATAAATATAAATATTTTTTCTTGCATCGCGCATTGCACTGCTTTTGAGTACAAATTGATGTAAAAAGACATTAACGAAGAATAATGTACATTACATGTAACACTTTTTCGTAATACTAACTATCAAAGAAACTTTGACAATTATTTTTACGAAAAAGTTGTACTAGTATTAATGTAACGTAGAGATATATATATTATCTCAGAGCATTGAAAAATGCCGATTGCGAAAACCGAGAAGATATTCCTGTTGAATCAATAAAAATAGGTACTGAAAAGTACCGTTTAGTTCCCACCAGAACTGTGCGAGAAAGCCTTAGTCCCGAACGGGACCAAAGTACTTTCCCGTACGTTCTGGTATCTACAGAAACTAGTTGGCATTAAAAAATGCCGATTAATTTAATTTCTTTTATTGGCTACGTTCAGTAGAAAAAGCTGCTTTGCAACTGTTGTAAAATTCATGAATCTGATTAGCGTATGCTCTTAAATTCACTCAAGATTAAGAGAATACGCCAATCAGATTCACGAATTTTACAACAGTTGCAAAGCAACTTTTTCTGCTGAACGCAGCCATTGTCTTCCGCTGCCCTCCGTTGTCCTCCGCTGTCCACCGTTGTTCACCGCTGTCCTCCGCTGCCCTCCGTTGTTCACCGCTGTCCTCCGCTGCCCTCCGTTGTTCACCGCTGTCCTCCGCTATCCTCCGCTACTCTCCATTAATAAATATGTATTGGATCACGACGATGTTAGTGGATCTCCTTCTGTACGAATACCTGTAAGAACATATAAATTATTATTCTTATGATTACGTACGTGTGTGCGCGCAAGTATGGTTGCGTGTGCCTGTGTATAATTATTTCTTATTTTACATTATTACCATTATCTCTATTTTCGTCTTGCTCTTGTTCCGGCTCTTGTTCGTCGTTCCAAAAATTGCGGTCTCTTGGATTAGGTACCCGCTGACGTGGACCACGCACTTTACTTCTGGCTCGTTCTTTTGCCGCCCGGAGAGCTTCCTTCGCTTGGGCTTGAAATTCCGAACGAGTCGGCTTTGGGAAATGCTTGTTATTGCACATGCTTTCTACAAAAAGAATATAATGCAATGCAGTACAATTAATACATAATACATGATTAAAACAGTAAGGAATTGTCAACAAAGAAAGGAAGAAGATCATACCGTAAATAGCAATAATTATGCGAGCATTGTATAATGGTCTTTGTCCTCCTTCGCGCCCCCACCATGTAAATGATGGCGTTAACAAATCCTTCAAAGCCTCCTTTAAGCAAAGATTTATGGCTTCTTTCAAGTTGAAGCCGCCTATATAATTAAAATAATTCACCTAAACAAACGAAGTAAGTACATATTAGATAATGTAAATATTTATATAAAGTTGAATGCACGAGTGAATAAGAATATGCTTGTGTATATGTGTCACGGAGTAGAAGTAGCGAGGAAAATAAAATATTTATATCTTTTTTTTACTCACAACTTCGGTGAAACCATTGTCATCAATATTTTCAAAATCATCCATCTCTGCTAAGGATGATATCGGGAGGATTGCAGGCTTTCGTTGTACACCTCGATTATCTTGTACGCATTTTAAAATACTTTGAAGTAAAGTATTTATCCTCCTGTAATAAAACACAAAATTTGTATTAGCAAAAGTATGTGATTGTACTGTCGGTTCGTAAGGCCGACTTGAATATTATTCACTCCTCCGCTTGGCGAGGAGTGAACCACGCTTTGGTAGCAGAGGCGTATTTTCGTTATCCAACCACAAGCAACCAGAAGCGACCACGGTCATTTTCGTTTGTGGTCGTGACGTCACCGATGCTAACGCGTTAGCTTGGTAGGACCCAAACATTCAACCAAACCCAGGAGGTCGTTTCACTGTTTGCGGTAGCGTGTTTGGGCGGGAATTCGGCAATGGATAACATAACCCTAAACCTCGATCAGCATATGTTGTGCCAGGACGATGCTGGCAATATCCAGATTTCAGAAGATCCAGGAAACCCTGGGCTTCTAGTGTTTGATAAACTAAGTAAGTAATAATAATAATTAGAAGCGCTACTTAACCTAATAGTTTTATATTGTTAGGTTATAATATAATAAAATATTTTCAGATAATTCCGTTTTTGTCGTCCCGGACAATGAAAAAGTACATTAATTCTTGCCGCATGTACGCCTTATACAGGAGACTGGATATCGGATATTGGATATCGGACATCATACATCGGAAATCGGACGTAGTGAGAATTCTGCATATGACGTCTTTCAGACGAATTTAAGACGTCTTAAATCGTACTGCCAAAGAAATATTTGTTATTTTAGTTAGTGCCATTGCTTATAAAGCAGCAGCCGTGGCAATGGATTTTTATTTTAGTTTTAAAACTTCGCCAATTATCAGGCATCACATATTAGACATGTTATGTATATGACTACTGTTGATTTTTTTTTAATTATATGTCAGAGTATGTGGCATGTCTCAAGACTGTTAATAATAAATTATCCTTAGTTTGTAATGTCACAAAACGAATTTTTTGTTTGTACTATTAGTTAGGTACAATATTATTATTATTATTATTATTTCATAGTATTTGTTGTCCGGGAGCCGTTTGTTTAATTACTATTAAAATCTTATGTATTTGTTTGTGTTTGGTGCTAATCAGGGGCCAGATTCTCGACGTCGGTCGAATGAGATGCGCATGCAAAAATCCTACAGTTCACGTAACATATACCATACATTTTCGCATGCGCATCTCATTCGTACGACGAATCGGGCCCCTGGCTGTTACGTTGATTTAGAAATATATAAATGCCAAATGTTTATTTTAAAATATTTATGTAAAGATGCAATGTCAATTTTGAATGGGAATTGATGGGAATTTGAAAATGCAAAAGAAATAATTAATAAATAAGTTCCATTTAATTGCTTCACTTGACTTTATTTCCTAATCCACTGTGACACTGTGTGAAGGAGAATGTTAGGATAGATAAAAATACTTTCGAATATATAATTATTTAATCGCTCATGTACTTCCCGTTTATCCTGTTTGATACTTTTATGCAACACACATTCAGAATGGATTTTCACAAAAGTTATGCTTCAACGAGTCATATAAAATAAATGGACGTATCTATGCCCCAGATAGCGCTTATAATATACACGACTATATATATAAATTAAAACTACATATCCATACGCATAAGTTAGCCATCGAAATGTGCGTTCACGCAAAAACACCGTGTGACCTTTTTCTCACAAGACTTAATCGCGCATTCGATGAGAAGGCTCGCATAGAAACTTATATCTAAACAACAAATACAACCGTTCACTGATACATTCATCGATCAATCAAGCGATTTCTTCCGGCACGTTGCAAGAGTCGACGACTCTCGTCGTCTTCCCGCCTCCCTGAGGTCTTCTCTCGTACAATCCAACGGGACAATACGTAGCTCTGGTCTCCGGCCGAAGATCAACGCCGTTCAAGAGAAGAAGACTGCCCCGTGCGCGGAGTAAAGGCCTTCACACATAAAATTCCGTAAGGACGTAAAACGTATCATAACGCTACCGTGGTCGCGAAACGAAAAAACGCCTAAGAGTTGCCTTGTCAATTGTAATAACAGGGACATCACCACGTTGCATTTTAGGCACATACTTTGGGGCAATAACCTTCACAAGTTCCTTGAAAGTGTCCTTGCGCATCCTGTTAAAGATAAAGAAAAAAATTATACCACAGGCATGGGTATCACACAAAGCATAGCGTAAAGAGTACCGCATAGAATTTTTTTGTGATTCTTACCGAAACAGCCGGTGAAAATCAAAGTCTAAGTAATGCTGGATCCATTCTTCACCGCACAAATGACCTAACCTGAAATGCCGCTGCCTATCCTTTTTTTAAATAGTAAAACAATATTACACGCTGCTCCCGACTTATTAAATGCAATGGTGAATAATTCATCATCAAAGGTCTCCTCTTTAAATAATTCTATCGCCAAGGCTAAGGCTACTTTCGTCTTCTGATTCTTCTTCATGGTTGGTCGTGGTTGAATAACGAAAATACGCAGTGGTAGTGGAATATCCATTTTCATTAGTGGTTGCTGTTTGTGACGTCACAGCCCGAAACACTCCTAACCAAACGCTACCGTGGTCGCGAAACGAAAAAACGCCTCAGAATAACCACACTGGTTTGCAGAGATTCACTTTTATTGCCAGACGACTCGAATACAGGATCTTAATCTCGAGGATGTACCTTGCCGAACAGAACTGCGGAACCGCCGATCTCGCCACACTACTCTATGGTCCACTCACGCTCTGCACACGCACGCCGCCCATAGCCCTCCTGGTGAGGAGACTCGCAACCACACCTGACGACGCCATTCTCACGCGCCATACCCCAATCAAATTCCGCCGTAACATGCCGCCCGCCTTGATAAACGGGTAACACGTTTTCAACCATATCTCTCAAGTGCATAACACACAACTAAACTTATAACCAGCCGCTCCTAAAAAGGTTTACAATTCTCAGAATTCTTAAACTAACTTAGTCACTAACGCTTTGGTATAATTTTTCTTAAAATTAATCTTATCCTAACGCAGAGTATTACATGAATGGTCTCTAAGACCTCAAGAACATAAATCGCAGATCGATTGCAGTTAGTCACAAGGCACAGGTGCTAACTTTACTATGGGCCTTTTATATTGCCCCTTAGCAGTACGCAACGTTACGGCGCGCACCACTCCGTCGACGCCCGGATGCGTCTCCAACACCCTCGCCATCGTCCATTTGTACGGCATCGCCTCGTCTTCCTTTAGCATCACTAGCTGTCCCGCGCGTATTGTTTCGCGCTTTAAAGTTTTCCACTTGGATCGCTGCTGGCACGCGGACAGATATTCCCGCGACCATCGCGACCAAAACCTTTGACGGAGTTGTTCGATGTGCTGCCATCTGGACAGTTTAGACGTCGGTACCTCCTGTAGATCGTGTTCAGGTAACGCTGCCATCGAACTGCCAATAAGAAAATGCGCGGGAGTCAACGCCTCCAAATCCCGCGGATCATCAGAAAGCGGAGTGATAGGTCTCGAGTTCATGATCGCCTCGATTTGGGTTAAGACCGTAATCATCTCGCTTACAGTGAGCGACGCCTCTCCTATTGTTCGTTTTAGATGTCGCTTCATAGTCTTGACTGCCGCCTCCCAGAGACCGCCGAAGTGCGGTGCTCTAGCTGGGATGAAATGCCAGTTCACACCCTCGACGGAACAGAGATCAGGGATCCTCTTCTTAAATTGAGGATCGTTGAGAATTCGTTGGATCTCTCTTTCTGCCCCGACGAAGTTCCTGCCATTATCGGAATAAATGTCCGACGGTAATCCTCGTCTCGCCGTAAATCGCTTCAGGGATCCTAAGAACGCCTGAGTGGTCATGTCGTCCACTAGTTCGATGTGGACCGCCTTCGTTGCCATGCACACGTATACAGCCACGTAAGCCTTGTACTGCTTACTGTTTCTTCTCACACGGTCTCTCACGAATAAGGGTCCACAGTAGTCCACTCCTACCCTTGCAAATGGTCTTGACACTTGCACTCGCGCCTCCGGAAGTTGCCCCATCAGCTGCTGATATGGCATCGGGTCCGCCTTGCGACACACCACACAATTTCTCAAATGCCTCTTCACGACGCTTAGCCCGGAAATCGGCCAGAACTCACACCTTACTGCCGCCAACGTAGCCGTAGGCCCAGCATGGAAACACTTATTATGTTTCTCCATAACAATTAGTTTGTTGACGTAATGCTCGGACGGAATAATCAGTGGGTGCTTCGCGTTCTCATCCAACGACGAACCATCTAACCTTCCGCCCACCCTCACGAGCTTATCCTTGCCTATGTATGGTTTCAAACCAATTAACTTAGAGTTTCTATTGATCGCCTGGTCATCGCTTAATTTACGGATTTCGTCTTTCCAAGCCGCTGCTTGGACTAATCTAATTATTACATTTCGCGCCTCCCTTAACTCTACCGAGGAAATATATTCCGTCGCATCCGTGCTAGCGCGCTTTCTCAAACCGCTTATGAATCTCAATACGTAAACCACGACACGCAACAACTTAGAGTAGGAAGAAAACTTGTCGAATTCCACGACGGTATTACTAACTATAGCTATCGCCATCGACGCCACCTTGCGCTCTTCGGGTATACCGTCCAGATCCGCACCACGGCTTTCAGTTTCTGAAAAATCAGTCTCAGTTTTTAACCAACTCGGACCTTCCCACCATAACGTAGAGCTATTCAACTGCGCGGGAGTTGACCCTCTAGATATCATGTCGGCAGGATTATCCCGTGACTTTACGTGGTGCCACTCGTTTGGAGACGAACTATCCTGAATCTCGCTCACCCTATTCGCCACAAATGTTTGCCACCTCCTGGAAGGCGAACCTATCCAAGCTAAAACTATTTTGGAATCCGTCCAATAGTGCCTCTCTGAAATGTCAACCTTCACGGCTTCCGCGACCTTTTTCATCAATTTAACTAACAACAATGCCCCACACAATTCCAACCTTGGTAGGGATATGGCCTTTAAAGGCGCGACTCGGGACTTAGAACACACCAGTGTGGAACCAACGTTATGATTGGAGTGCCGACACACCACATACACGCAAGCTCCATATGCTCTCTCGCTCGCATCACTAAATCCATGTAAACGAACCTGACACGCGTCGAAGCCCTGCATCAGCCTCGGTATTTCTATGGAACTCAACTCGGACAACTGCGACCTGAACGTTGACCAAGAAGTTTGAATATGCATCGGAACTGAATCATCCCAACCTATTTTGTCAATCCATAGACTCTGCATCAGTATTTTCGCGGACGTCGTTATGGGGCCTACCAAACCCAGAGGGTCAAATAATCGAGCCATTTCAGACAGTATGGTTCGCTTAGTAATCCGATCCTCCCTATGACCTTTCGGGGTTGTGAAATACAATGCATCTCTTTTGGGAAGCCAACCTATACCCCAGGGATGGGCAAAATGCTGCCCGCGGGCAACGGGCGCCCGCGGGCACTCAGCCGACGGGCATGCCCCCACTCCAATCATCGCCCCACCACGTCTCAATCATATTCGGAACTATACTTCTAAAGCGCGACGTTCTTTCCCACTTGCCGAAACTGTCTCCCCACTCTTGCCGAAACTGTCTTCCCACTCTTGCCCGACACGCACAGCTATTGCCCGCGGGCAAACGGGCGCCCGCGGGCAGTGAAAGTTGCCCAGGCCTGCTATACCCAGTAACTTTGCCCCTCGGTGAGGTTCTGACTCGACAATTTCCCCAAGATCCAGCGTGTCCTTGTTTCCTAAATCTTCAACGTTGCTATTCCATTTGTGCAGCTCGAATCCACCTTGCTCTACTAGCGCTTCCAATTGGCACTTTAGGGCCACTAATTGTTCCACCGTACTTGCACCCGTCAACAGATCGTCCATATAAAGATCTTCTTTTATCGCCTTTGCTGCCAAAGGAAATCTATCCTCTTCTTCCTTCGCCAACTTCTGCAAGCATTTGACTGCGATATAAGACGCAGGTTTTGTACCGTAGGTCAACGTGACCAACTCGTACAGCCTCATGGTTTCGGTGGAATTCTCCCTCCAGTAGATCGTCTGAAGAGGCGTATGCTCTTCGTGCACCAGTATCTGCCTGTACATTTTAACAACATCTGCGGTCAAGATGTACCTATGACAGCGAAACCTGAGAATTATCGTGAACAAATCAGACTGAAGTGTCGGACCCTTGCGCAACGCGTCATTAAGGGATACTCCTTTGCTGTCTTTACTCGAGGCGTCGAATACGACTCGGGTCTTCGTGGATGTCCTATCCTTTCTCACTACAGCTTGGTGCGGTAAGAAAATCCTGAATTTAACGTTTTGTGGCTCATCTATCTGTTTCATATGGCCTAGTCTCTCATAGTCCTGCATGAACTGAACGTATTCTTTCTTCAGATCATGATCCTTATCTAGCCTCTTTTCTAATGATAAAAAACGTCGTCGAGCAATATCTTTCGACTCGCCCATTTGCTTCATAACGTCCTCCTTTACAGGCAGCTTGACTACGAATCTTCCCTTTGCGTTCCGTTTGTACGTATTCTCGAAGAATTCCTCGCAGGCCAACTCATCAATGGTAGACTCCCCTCTCACAGGAATGTCGTCAATTTTCCAAAATTGCCGTAGTGCCTCATCCAGTTCTCGGACGCTACTCAGGTTGCAGGCAGCGTATTGCTTGCGTCCTAAATTTCCCGTCGTCACCGTTCCGACTATCAACCAACCTAACACGGTTTTTTGCAATATCGGTCTGCCAGGACCTAAATTGATCTGCCCTACGCACATCAACTCCCAGAACCATTCGGTTCCTATCACTAAATCGATTTCCGAAGGAACGTTGAATCGCGGATCTGCCAACCTAATATTACATGGAATATTAAATTGTTGCTTATCTAACTTTACGTGAGGAACCCTTCTCGTTAGGTTGGATAGAATTATACATTGCACCTTAAATTCGTGAGATCCGAACCTAGACTTAACGTCTACCTCGGTCTTTTCCAACGCCCTGGACACCTGCTGATTAATACCTGTGATTTCTATATGCGCAGCCTTACGCCTAAGTTTTAGACGCTGCGCTAGAGATTCCGTTATGAAACTAGATTCCGCCCCGCTATCAAGAAGAGCTTTGATTTGGATAAAATGACCATCGCTATGCTTTACTTTAATCAAAACCGTAGACAACAACATTTGACTCGACCGGTATGATTCCGTGGAACAGGCATGTCCACACGCCGCACTGTTCCCTTGTTCTTTTTCCGCAACGACTTTAGCCTTTCCGAGGCTCGATTCGCTGCTCGATTCACCCTTGGGACTCTCTGGATGCAGTAAGGAATTATGCCGCTTGCTGCATGTTTTGCATCCGTTTAACGAATAATCCCTAGCCATATGCTTGCCCTTCAAGCAATTCAAACACCAGCCCTTTGATTTTATATATTTTACGCGCTCGTCTACCGATAGACCCTTAAAATCTTTGCAAGAGTAAACGCTATGATCTCCTTGGCAATATGAGCATTTAAATTTGGTAGCGGCTACGTTACAGCCTTTGGACCATTGCACATTATCCTGTAACGAGTTAACATTGGCCCTATTCGACTTTCCTACCTTCGAAACCGCCTCTAACGTCTGGCACCGTTTTTTTAGAAATTCTATTAACTCCTCGAACGTAGGAACTCGCGTGGACTCGATCGAGTTCTCCCACTCTTTTATTGACTTCATATCTAGTTTGCTCGTGACGATGTGAACTAACAAGTCGCCCCAATGATCGATGGGTCTGTCCAATGAGCGTAAAGCTCTCGTGTGCTTTAACACTCCGTCTAATATTTGTCGGATAACGACACTGTCTTCCCTTTTCACGATAGGTAGATCAAAGATAGCCCTGATGTGGTTCTGAACGGTAAGCCTTTTGTTATCGTACCTCTCACTAAGCCTATCCCATGCATCTTTATAATTGTCACCGGTCATTTCTAGCGACGACACGACCTCGGCGGCCTCCCCTTTTAAGGAGGATTTCAGGTAATGAAGTTTCTGAGTATCGTTAAGATCTCTATTTGAATGAATTAATGAACCGAACATATCATAGAATGAGTGCCATTCCTCATATGCCCCTGAAAATCTGGGCAATTATATCCGCGGTAGTTTAATTTGAGCGTTGAATGCTGGAACGCAGGCTCTGCCGACGTCATTATTGACCGCTCCATTGGCCTGTATCACCGTGCGGTCTAACATTCCCTCATCCGCTCTAACCGTTCTATCTTTTACGATTCTTTCCATCGCGCCCTTTAATCGAAAGTATTTGTTTTCAATTTCCTCCGATTCTTTATCCTGATCCGCCTCCGATATCGTGTCATCGTTAGCCGCGATTTCTATTTGCGTATCCGAGAATGTTTTAAACGCTTCGTCCAGCCTTTCTATGCGCAATCTTATTTCCTCGATCTCAACCTCGACGGGATCTATCCCCTCCACGTACGTCTCTAACCGCGTTAGCGAAGCCTTTGCCGCGCGCTTCTTATAGGTTAATTTCACCACGTCCGCGCTCATTGTCGGCATTTTACTTAAATCTAACGCAAACAATTCCGAATATTACAACGTATCTTTAGATGACGTCCTGGGTGGTGGCTCGGCCTCGACTCGGCGTCCCCCGTACGGTAGCTCAAGTTAGGTTAGGTTGAATCGTCTGCCGCGTCTGCCGCTTGGCTCAGCTTCCGCCGATTCCCCGTGCGCGGTGTCTGGTTCCGACGGCTGCAACAGCTCCGTCTCTCGTCCGACTAGCAGTTCTCCTGCCCTGGTGCTGATTGGCTTCGCGCTCCCTGCGCGATGGCGTTTCCCAGTGGACGATGGGCTCGCCGCTCTGCGTTACAGCGCTCCCGGCGGCCGATGGGCTCCCCGCTCGGCTTTATGGGAGCTTCCGGCGGACAATGGACTCGCCGCGTGGCTTAATGGCGACTTCCGGCGGACAATGGACTCGCCCACTCGTCGCTATGAGATCTTCTCGCGACTGGCGAACTTCCACCCGTCGCTGGTTCCGCTCGGCTCTTCGTCTGGTCTTTGCTTTCACTGCCTCAGGCAGCCTCGCGCTCGATCCGTGGTGACCGATCGCCTTGTAGAATGCGCGGACTCGTCTTGCCCGTCCACGCCTTTCCCGGATGAATCCGGCTCGAAGGACCATGTACTGTCGGTTCGTAAGGCCGACTTGAATATTATTCACTCCTCCGCTTGGCGAGGAGTGAACCACGCTTTGGTAGCAGAATAACCACACTGGTTTGCAGAGATTCACTTTTATTGCCAGACGACTCGAATACAGGATCTTAATCTCGAGGATGTACCTTGCCGAACAGAACTGCGGAACCGCCGATCTCGCCACACTACTCTATGGTCCACTCACGCTCTGCACACGCACGCCGCCCATAGCCCTCCTGGCGAGGAGACTCGCAACCACACCTTACGACGCCATTCTCACGCGCCATACCCCAATATATGAGATAAATTTGGAATATAATGCTTACTTTAGTTCTATCTCGCTGCCATCTACGCGTTTTTGTAGTGAGTTCATGGATCTGCGAACATTAACTGACGTTTATTGACATTTGTACAGTACGTGACGAAACTATTTCTACCTTTTATCATGTTCTTATTTAACGTTCCACATTTTTACAACTATCAATATTATTTACCGATTGATTTTCTCGCTGTTGTGTGATACCTCATTGTTTGAGTTAACCATAGTCGACGATACAGCAATATTACTGGACGTTGATCCATGACCTCGTTCCACATTTCCCTGAAACTGAGTTCCATATGTTGCATTATTGTTGTAAATAACTCCACCTGTATGTGTATGTGTCGGATTAGTTGTATATATAAATAATTTCCATTATAATTATGAGTTAACGTCTGTGAAGTGGGAATTGTTGTGTGTGTAGATTGTGTAGATTGGTATCCTGTTTGTGTGTATGGTGGTTGGTTTGTTGTGTATGTCGATTGGTATACTGTTTGTATTTGTGGTGGTATGTTTATGGGCATTTCAGGATAGTTTGGTATCGAATATTGTCTGTTGTGAAGAAGTAATGTTATCATTCTTATCTGTATTTTCATCCATGGTCCTTCGTAGATCGCCAATGTCCTCGTTGATCTCCGCATCCGTAGGTGGATTACAGACTCTTTTCATCGAATTTTTCGGACGAGTCTCCAAATCGTCTTCAGAAGAGGTCGTCTGGTAGCGAGATGGCTTGTTAACCACACGCTTTGGTCGGCTCATCTAAGCAAAAATCGTATGGTTCTTAACACAATAGTGTATGCAGTACATTTTACAAAACGAATGATGACCTGTTGAAGCTGTGTATAACTTGACTTATCGAGAAGATTTTCAAAAACATAAGAAGAAACCATTTCTTATGTTTTCTCACTATGTATCAGAGCAGCAACAACATATCCAGATATTTCTGAATCATGTTCTTCATTACTGTCACTGTCCTCCATCGACATGGAATTCCAAAGAGGCATCCTATAACATTTTGCGAGAACTTCGTCCAGGTAAACATAAAAAATTTCGTCACTTAGTATGGAACATTTATATATTTGAACAATTGAAGATAATATGCCAATATCATAAAAATCCTCAATCTGTGAAAATCTTTTAACTGCTAAACGATAGGAATTATTGTCCAAGACAATTTTATCAATGATGCAAATAGATCCATCATGTAAAATGCAACAATTATCACGTGTCTCTATACTTAACGTCATTCCATTAAATTGAATCTTACGATATTGATGACAATTGATATCATTACGCAATGCAATTACGTGAAAAGGTGAATCTATATTATGATCACTGTCTGTTCCATGATTGACTATCTCCATCAATCTATTGGAGAATTGTTGAAGGGGTAAACCTGGTTTCCGGCAATATTTCCTGAAAATTGACATGTTGCTTTCATAAGGAAAGGCAGAAAATGAATCTAAAGTACCGAGACGTCTCACATCATCGATAAGATGCAGAAGACCATGTACATTGTATGAATTAAAGGTCGGACCATATAAATCTGGACTTCGAAGAACAAATTTTTGCAATGCAAGTTCCGCAAAACTTAAATATCGCATTGATAATGACTTGGATATCACAACTCTTATTGTTGCATGCAGGAATAGAAAATGCTTATATAATCGTTCGTTCAGTACACCAAACATTAGAAGTGGTCCTGTATAAAGCAAAAACTGACGAAATTCTGTCGCTTTAAATTTAGAATACATGTCAATTGTTCTAGGACGTCTAGCAAACTCTGACGGACAATATTTTTTGAGAATACTTATTCTCGAACATATAACAGAGATGGATCTTCCAGACAATTTTGAAAAACGTGAATATTTTCCATGTATCCACGCAGATAAAAGTTTTTTTGTAACACCCAAACATACAAGGTGCATATATTCAAAGGGAACTTGTGAAACCATACCAAGTGGTAACATTGATAATGGACTATTACCTCTATGATGATCCTCATCTAAACATCTACTATATTCCTCGTCAGTCCTAAGAGAATGATTAATACCATTGAATACATAACGACCTTCGCAACGTGTACCCGAAACTTTACACTTGGAACAAGGATGACAAGATATATGACCACGATGATTTAAAATAAAAGCTCGAGCTGGTGCATCAGCTATAAAACATCTCAATCGTATCGGCACTTTATTGCCATGAAAATTAATATCTCCACTAGACATGTAGAAAGATATTTTTATTTTATTCCGCGAGACAGTCTATACATTTTCTTTTTGTTGTTTTCCCGCCGAGTGACTGGCATGTCGGCCGCGCGTGGCGTATCTGATGCCGCGAGAGGCGCGGAGACGACCGGCAGAGTCGTGACGAAACAACGCGAGCGACAAGGCGTATACGAGCGAGCGAGCGTTAACGACTGTACAAGTTTTAAGTTTTCCACACGTATTACCCAAATATACAACGCATATCAGTAACCGTGGGTTCTTGAGGATATCTTTCCATCCCCTATCCTGACCAACACCCAATTCTACACCCACAGACATGATTCTTTGAATATCTGCAACAAATTTTTGGAGAAAAATATTGGGATCAAATGGTTTTTGGGTACCTTTATAAATTCCTACTACTATTGGTTTTGTATGTTGCATATTTACAATTTTACATTGAATAGGCCAAATCTGAATATTACCTGATTTATCTAAACTGCACCCATCTATATTAAAATCTAACTCTAATTGATTAACAGTGGGAACGTT